ATTATCATTATCATTATCATTATCATTATCATTATCATTATTACTATCATTATTACTATCATTATTATTATCATTATTACTATCATTATTACTATCATTATTACTATCATTATTATTATTATTTATTAATGTTATTATTTATTATTGTTTTAACCATCATTATTTATTATCATTTATCATTTTCCTTATCATTACTGTTTTATTAATGCTGTTTTCATTTAGCTGTTATCATTTATTCGTACTTTTGCATGGATGGCGGAGAAATAGTTTTCCAAGTAATTCAATGCTAGTAGCTATTAGAAATTCGAATCCACCAAAAAACATCATATTCAGTATCACGAGGGAGGGACGAATGGCCATCAGTGAGAGGTGAAACAACTTATCAAGGGCAAGTTATCGTAGTTAATTCTGTTAGTGGGGAATTCCCTCAAGAAACAGTTGAATATGCAACTGTGTTTCCGAGTAAACACCCTACTTTCAAATGTTAATTGTACTCTAAACTCCATGAGCAAGCCATCACGGAAATTGTTCACATTTTACGCCTCCAATAAAAGTTCATCACTATTTCTGCCTCATCACTTGTGCATTCAGGGATGGACACCTTCGTGAAGATTTCTGCATTCCGTTGTGATTGCCCTTGGCCCGTGCCTATCGTTTATCTCCCAAATATGAGTGGGTTTCACACCCTCAGTTGAGCGCCGAAAGAAAGATGCCTTTCTTCAGTCGGGAATGGTCGCTCGAAAGATGGAGTAGCTTCCTTATTCGCGGTTTTCATACTCTTCTTCGGTAAACTCCTTATATGCCCTGACGACTTCTTTTGTGGTTGGTAACTCTTATTTTTCGCGAAGCAGCCCCTTCCCTCCCGTTGAATCTCCATCGGCCTCAACTAACCCATCTAACGAACGAGCGATTTTCCACATATTCGATCCTTTGTCTGACCACACAAAAATATCACATAAATCGCGTGGCTTGAATCGTGGAAAATGTTTGAAAATTTTCTGTTATAATTTATGTAAATGGAATAGTGTAGAACGTTGGATCTTTATGTTGTTGTAATCCAGTCTTCTTTGTTTCTCTTAAATGCTGATTCGTAATATTTTACTGGAATAATCTAAAGCAGTCGGTCGAAGCAGTGTTTGACGATGGTAGTGATGAACCGTAAGTGTACTTTCAGCATACTGCTTAAGCTTTGGAATGCTCGTTTCGTTGAACGTCGGTCAGTTAGCGTATGTATTTGCAATATCATGCACTGCGTTCGGTGCATATTTTGTGTATAAAGTTGGATTAACTTCTCGAGATGTAGCGCAGAGAAACGCACAATTCCGCACTCTCCAGATACATTTCTTGTTGCCCTATTTGCTAGTCCTTCTCGCCGAAAGTATTCAGGTCAGTTTTTTGCCAATACTGAATGATATTTTTATCTTCATTCTTGGGCATATAAACGAACATCAAGTTTAGTGATATGTGTTCTTCAGGCACCATACTTGTACGTTCTCTATCATGTTTATGGATTTTTACCGAGTCAAATCAGTGTGTTGTATGTGGTGGGCTTAACGATGAATGTAATTGGTACAGTGTTAACCGTGCATCTTTTGTCAAAATTCGATAGACGAATGCTTTGTTTATGTTGTGTTGCGAGCAGCTCATTAGCATGTCTGCTGAAATTCTCCGATAATTATCTCGTTCTTCTCATCGGTCGATTACTTGACGGCCTGTCGGCAGCTCTCATCACCGCACCTTTTCAACAATGGTTGGTGTTTCATTCTATTTTTTGCCAGTCAATTGAAGTAATTCGCAGTGGATACGTTTGTGTAATCTGTGATGACAACATTCAATTAAGGTTATATCAATGTGAGATTACAGGTATGGTCATGAGCATGTGATGTCATTTGATTTTCCTAAAGAATGGCTTGCGTCAACATTCGCATTGCTCTCTCTCATAGCTGGATTTCTGTCTGTGTTAGCCGGTTTTATCGCAGAATTTGCTGAGAGTATATCCTCAATAACAGCATTTCCATTCTTCTTTGCAATACTCTTTCAGCTTGCTGGTATTTTTCTTATTGCTACATTTTAATGTTTTTTTGGAATTTTTGAATCAAAATAACTGTAATATAAAATTGGAATAATGCATTGGCATCAACGGATTCCTACAAGTGTTGACTTGAAATTCCTCTGACAAAACGAAAACATCTTGGTACTTTCTGCTGTTGTTGGTCACGAATAACGCTATATTTCCAGGTGGTTGCTATATAATGTGTGTTTGGCCAGCAAATAGAATTGAACCTGAACATCGTATACCAATCAGAGAGCAGTTCATCAGTGCAGTTACTATTTTCAAGGTGTGTTTCTAATTTGCATGCTTTCAGTTAGATAATCTCATTCGAATTAAATCTTTGTTGGATCCAAATTGAGAGAGGTTAAATGGTCTTCGATTCAGATCTGTACTGTTAAGTCTTTGTGTCGTATTTCAGAAGAAACCGGTGATTTTAGTATTGTGCGCTGTGCATACGCTTTTCGAATCAACTTTACTTATATTCATTTTTGTTTGGACGCCACTCTTTTTACATTCAAAAGCAATTCTCCATCAGCGTATCAGGTAATAAACTTTGATTTGAGTTGATCCATCTGAATGAATGTAAGAGATTTAGTTGTATGCTTAATGAGATTTTCTTCAGTTACGGTGTGATTTATGCAGCGTTCATGAGTTGTGCTCTATTGGGTGGAATATTCTCTCGTCACTATCACAAACGCTTGCAACCGACTCAGATCCTATTTGCGTCATCGAGTGTGTGTTTGATTACACTCGTGCTCTCGGTTTGCATCATACCATCAACACCCACCGAATGGACCAAATCGCTGTTCAACGCGCTTCTTCTGCTGTTCTGTTTATTCGAATTTGCAGTTGGTTCATACGTACCAGCAATGAACAAATTACAGGTGCGGTATTCTTGATTGTTGTGCTGCTCTGCATCAATCTCTTTGAATAACTGATTGTGAGTATGGAATCGGATGACTGTTGTTAGGTGAAAAGACTAAGAATAACGAGAAGAAGAATAGAGGTAATAATNATAATAATGACGGATTAGATCTTTGTTAGTTCCAAATTGGGATTAAATGGCTTAGGCTTTCGAAAAGGCCTTTCAGAATTTCATTCGAACAGAGTAGTTTCAGATTGATTTGCTGCCAGCCGAGCATCGCCAGTCATTATTAGCGTTGCTGAGAATACCACTGACTGTGATTTCAAGTTGTGGAATGTTATTCTTGCATTCTGGTAATACGGACTGGCAAATAGTCTCGATGGGTTGCGTGCTACTTTCATTAACAACTCTTTGTGCACTGCTCTTACATATGATCATCTCACAAAACAACCCACAACAAATTAATGATCATTTTGTTCTGACACTGAACACGAATGTATATGATGACTCACAAGAAGATGAAGACAACCTACCTCAGGGTCTAACGATCAGTTAATTCCTTGCGATGATATCCCATCAACCGGTTATTCGGTTGATGTACATTTTGGTATGAGATAATTTACAGTGGTTGATTCTCTCACCCCTTGGCTGGATGAAAAGAATTGATGATGTAGCATATTTATTATGTGATTCATGTGTATCTCGTTGTTCCAATATCTCTTGATTTTTGTTGCTTGTTCTTATATTCTTGCTAAGTTCGGACTTAGCTTCAAAATGTGATCGGATCTTGATTTTGTTTTACAATATTATTTATAAATCATCAAACCATTTGAGAGTATGACTCGATTGAGTTGTGTACAATTAGATGTGCAGTTGCAGCATTCCGTTTCGTTATTGGTGCGTAATTCTGTGATTAAATTGTTTTTGAATGCGTTTTGCAATGCGCGAAACGAGTGGATGGAAGTGAATGAGCGTATTCAGTAGATATGTATGCATATGAATCAGAAGGATAAAAACGAATTGAGAAAAGTTTCCTAGAGGGATACCTTACTGTATAAATAGCCATATGGAAATATTCTGATCATTTATTGTACTCGTCACGTTACAATTACAGATGGTGGGTGATATGAGCGTACATGGACATATTGCATTAAGAAGAGATATTTATGTGATTTGTGTTGTCGAATGATGAGATTTTATTTGCGTCGTCTTGTGATATACTGTCGGGTGTTTGTGTTCATTGAAGTATTTTTGAATATTCATTGTTTTCAGCTAATGATTAACCGGAAATTATTGAGTTAACTTTATTTGTGAATTGGTCAATTTGTTGTCTCATTTCCATCAACTTTATTTGTGATTTCAATTGATCGATAAATGATTATTTATTGAAGCAGTTTTGCGTTCCTTCCATTCTTTGCAATCTAATGAATGGCTTAATAATGGCCATTGTTGTATCAGCAACGGTTACATCAGTAATGTTGTCCTAGATTATGAATTCTTTTACTTAACTGTCATCTATACCGTATTTATTTGATAGGACATGGATTTTTGTTCGTTTTTCATAACGTTTATTTGACTGTTGGTTGATGTTCAACACCAAAAGTTTGATAGTTGGTGAGAATGATGAATAGTCGACGTTAGGATGTTCTTCAGATATCTATAACAGTAAAGATTCATTGAAAGATGAAGTGATTGTGAACGGTTGATTGCAGTATGGATAAGAATTTGAATGAGTTTTGTTGGGATACAGAGATGGAGTTGGATGCAAGTGTCGCGGCCACAGATTCCTTACTGTTCCCTCATGTGGAATTCATGCATCGTCCACTTGCCGAAAGGTTTGCTTTTGCTGTGTTCACTCACTCACTTTGTTAGATTGTTGGGTGCTTCCTTCCATTGCTAGTAGCATTCGACTGATTGCATTAATTTTTCTTCAGATTGTTCTATACGGGTCGACCAATAACAGTTCGTCAGGAAGAAGACGGATGCTTGATTCGAGGTAAAGTTGAGGTAACATGTGGTGACGGAATCTTCTTTAGCACCACAGATGGTCTCGAATTAGTTAAGCTGAGTCAAGTGGTTCCCGATTCTGAGTGGTCGACATCGAATGTTAGTTTTTTAAAGTTGTTCACTTCGTTGTTGATTTTTAGTGCATCATAAGAACCGCAGAGGATTCGTTGTTCGAGTGATAATTTGTGAATTCAGCCATTACAACAAGAGAAATCGTCGTTGAATGAGGTTACGAGCACTCCATCGAATATTGAAGCATTTGAAGCAATAGCGAATGGAAACGATAACAAAGAATTGACTGCAGACGAATTATTAGAAGCTGGCATGACGCCGGCAGAAATTGTTAAGGTGGTTAATTTTATCAGTGTGGTTTAGTGCAAATAACGTCAACATTGGAGTTCATCGAACTGAACGCAGTTGAGTGTTCAGGTAGGTCAATGGATGGAACTACAGGACGTAAGAAACCCTCTCGAGGTTCGCGTAGTTCAAGTGCTGGCGAATCGAGGCGGTCTATTGACCGTCAGTGATGGAAAACGTCCTGAGAATGTGCTATTGGCTAGCGAAAGGTGTCATGAACTGGGATGGGCTCAGAATGAGTCACGTAACTGTACGTATGAAACGGATGCATTGGAACTGTTGAATAGAGTGCGTGGTGACAGTGTATCGCCACGTGTTTTCACGAGTTCAACAATCAAAGAACATAAGTTTGAGGTTGGATTTACGAGATTCGTTGCTTTGAGAGATATACCGGAAACCATTCGCCGTTACCGTTATAATCGATGATGTTATCTACTCTGATGTAAGAGGTGATTGATGATACATAGTGATGTGTTCTATTGTGAAGGTAGGTATGATGTTGGAAGTATTGGATGTAACGAACGATGGCATGTTCCACCCGGGATATGTGTGCGAGGTGTTGAATCAGTACTACTTCATAGTGCGTATATCGCATTCGATCAACACTTCATCACACCACCAAATCATTTGCAATCGATCCTATCCCTACATCTTCCCGGTTTATTGGTGCGCACGTCAGAATATTCGACTCACTCCTCCTGAAGGTTATTAAAACAACTGGCCGGTTTTTAAAGTAGATGTGTGTCAGAAAGTTACAATCGTTGAATTCAGTCACTCGCTAAATTTGTGCATTCGATTAGTTTTGTTCAGATTATGGTGAGGGTGAATTCTCATGGAGTGTTTATCGAGAGAAATGCGGTCTTGTGAAGGGCAGTGCGCCAGAACAGTGCTTCGATTTACCGCGTGTTCAGCGATCTTTTGATAAACTCAGAAATGTCGAAGTGAGTTTGAGAAAATGCTCTCGTTGTCGTTGATATCTGTGTTGAAGAGTGAATTCGAAAGTTGAAGAGTTCATCTTAATCTAGGTATTAGACACGAGAACAGGCGATGTGATGTATCCGGGCAAGATAGTGCGATCAGTGCGTCATTTGGTATGGGTACACTTGTGTCATTATGCAAATGCCACACCTCCAAACGTTTACTCGATTAGGTTCTTGTTTCTTTGGTTTTGCATTCATTCACAAATTCTTTGACAGGACTTAGTTTGGAACAGTTTCCTAGATGAGTGTTTATTATTCACCGTTTGATTTCGGATTGCAATTTCTTCAGTCATAACATCAGAAAGAAATGGTTCATGTTACAGTTCGGGTCATTTGTTTCCGTGCGGTTTTGCCAAGAAATATGCTATTCGAATGCAAAGCGCTACGCAATATGTCAGTATGGGTACAACGTTGAGCGGTGATCGTTTCAATCTGCGTACGCTGTGTACGACTCGTCCAACGCCGATATTTGTCACACCCAAAAAACGTTTCTTACCGAGCGTCTGGTTGACATCTGATCTGTGGCTTCCGATAGTGTACGTGCGCAAGAATTGCTTCGCTGGACCGTTCATAAATCCGGAAAGGTTTCGGCAAATACCCGACAGATATCGTCCAGGCGCGATGCCTTCAATAATACGCGCGATATTATCGGATTTGATCAGTTGTGCGTATAAACCAAAACAACTCTGTGAATTGTTGATGTGTGCAAAAGATTCAACACTGCCACAGATTCTCGTTAAAGCGAGGTAATAATCAATTTTGGAATTTTTAAATTTTTATTCATTTGCAGCAAATTCCATTCAATATCCATTCATGCGTTCGTTCGTATGTTTATGTGGTACTGATTCAATTAGAAAAGAGGAGTAAATTAGAAAAAGAATAATCGAAGACTTTATCTCGCCAGGCGTGCAATCAGTCAAAATATCCTTAGCACCCAAAAACGGCAAGCACAAACCCCTCAAGTCAACAACAGGCCTCCTCAACTGCACTTGTGCCTATTTCCACGAAAATTTCACATGGCTCAGTTTTTGATTTCGTCGAATTTTGTTGTTGTTGTGTGCGAATTTTGGTGATCATTTGTTGAAGGATCAAATTCAAGAAGTATCGTACCCGTGTGGAATGTTGTGAGAAGGTGACCGAATTCTGTGGTTGGTTACGCGGTATTTGCATCTTATTGGATGCATGCCCCGACTTATTTGGTATCAGCAATACGGGTTGCGAGTCGTATTGCAGTACACTTCGAGTGCGAGTCTTCTCTACTTCTACGATTCTTGTTTTCAATTTTCGTGATGATCATTTTTCTTGGAAAGATCAGCGAAATAAACTTTTTGTTGCATCTGAGCGTTTTCTATGAGAATCGTTTTAGGTTTGACTGATTTTTTTAAGGTGATACAACAAGATTAGACATTATTTATTGTTTGGGGTATGCAGTGATAAGTGATTATTAGGTGTGGTCGGGCATTTGCAGAGAGCATTCGATTTGTTGCAGGAGATTCGTTCGATGGGAACATCGAGTCATGTGTGGACGGCGAATACACACACCACAACGCAGAAGTGCATACCGAGACGACTACGCAGAATCGTGCCTGGATCACAAACGAATCTGTCTCAAACGCAGGTTGTCAAGAAGAAAAAACCGGTTATCCAGATTTATGAGGTTGGTTCCTTTTTATCACCCTCTTGAGCAAAAGCATCGTCGTATTCGTTCGTCGAGACATGATGCGTCTCATTTGATTTACAGTCAGTGAATTTCATTACAATATTCATTCTAATGAATGAAAAGAAAACTTATCACTGTTATATATCGCACTGACAATCCAGCAACCAGTCAAATGGCAAAATCTGAATGGTGCAAGTTTTTTGCAGCCTCGCCGTCCGCTCACTCGGGCAATAACGCATAAGGAGTGGAGAACGCGAAATGCCGCAGCTGCTGAGGAACGAAAGAAAACCGAGAATATATCACCGGACTCTATGATGGTTGTTCGGCAGCCGCCCGTTTCATCTAGTCAACAGCTAATAGCCACCGAAGGGAATAACTATCCTCAGGTAGTTGCTTCACGATTCACGATGCTTCATATTCAGTGTGATGTTCTGTTGTTTGTTTTTTTTTGATTCTATTAGGTTTTATTGTTGCTTTCAACAAACTTGGGATCATTGTACAAGTAGTTATGGAACAATTAATCTAGAACGTAAGTCATGGAGCATCGTTAGAAGAACGCCTTATGTTATTACCACCGGTTGAGACGAACCCTCTGTATTGGACGGCATCTGAACTATCTATGTGGATCATGAAAACAGATCTTTCATCCGTGGCAGGCGTTCTCGAAAAGGAGGTTGGTTGTTTTATCATGCATCGGCTGTATTCCTTCATCTGAATGATTCATATATTACATAAGTGCACTTTTTTCGTTTTTTATTAAAGTTCATCCAAATTCTTATTGTTGCATCCTCACAATCAGTACTTTTNCTTTTATAGATTTTCATTTTATTTACAGGAGATTGATGGAGAAGCGTTCTTGCTACTATCGTTGAATCACTGTATGGAGAATCTTGGGTTGAAACTCGGTCCAGCACTGAAACTTAGCGCTCTCATTAAGGTTTCTTTCAGACACATTTTGTTTTGCCCATTAGAAACAGTCAAGTCAGTTTTTTGGGCGTTTCATTTTTGTGCACCTATTTCAGGAATTAAATAACGTTTGCAAAGAACGTTTCATCGTTTAACAAAACAATCGAATAAAGCAGAGAGTCATTATGGGTTAATTTTGTACGTGTATTTGAGTTAGCGAGTGTACCTCAATTTCATTTGTATAGATATTCTGATGATTGTTTTTTGTAATTGTTCATTATGAAGAGATATTGCAATAAAATATTTATATGATTTCATTTATTTTTTCATACGCATAGAACATTTGATTCAATTGTTCATTCACATTCAATCAGTGATTGTTGGGGCCGTAATCAAAGCTAGAAGTGACAAAATCAATTACATGATTATTCGGGAAATCCTTACCCACTCACATCTCATTTTCGTTACAGACGTGAACATCACCTTCACTGATTTTACGGTATAATCCAGAAATCATTCACCAAAGATATTCGTTCAGATAATGATCTGTGAAATCAGAAACCGAGATTTTGGTTTCTTTTTTTCTTGATTTGTAAAATCACAAAACAGATTCGAAATTAGTTGGCCGTGCTCAACGTGACGACATAAACATGTTCTGCCTCATAGCATTTGCAAATGTTTACATTAGCCTACTTTGGTAAGTCAATTCAAGCTTTCGGTTCAACTACTCAAAACTATTTTCAAGTGGTTTGTCGACTTGAGATTTGGCCAACAAATGTAAACTATAACAAATGATAGTGTAAAGATCAATTTGACCCACGAACGTCAACTGATACACATAAAAATGTGGACATTACACAAGAGATGAATATGTTGAAGTTGGAAAAAATAGGGATTCATTTCCAATTAGAGAAAGTTTGAAAAGAATATCTGGCTGAGACGCTAATGAAGAGAAATAATGCAAGTTATCGCTACTTTGTGCCGCTAAGAAGTTGTTGTGGCGAAAGTTATCGCTAAAAAGTTCCGCTACATGAAAACGGTAGCAAGACATCGCACAACCTGAAAAAGTAGCTTAGCTAGTAGCGAAACAGCGAGTAGCGCGGCACTACCCAACATTGAGTAATGATATGAATGAGGGAAGCTTTGACGCCCCTATCTAAAATTGCAATCGCATTTTGAGCTCCTTACAATATTCGAATGAACGAAGGCAGTGAACAGATGATTCCTTTTGAACGCGAATATGAAAAATGAAATTTTTTACAGAAGTGATGAAATTGTTGGAGATCCAGTACAAGGCTTCAACGACTATATACCAATACAAGATCCAATACTGCCTAATACAACACCTCAACGACTATATTTATGCGAAATATGCACGTCTAACAATAAGTATGATTAAATATTCATCACAAACATTGAATAAATCATTGCTAAAATTTCACATTTGGTCATTAGGAACAAGCGCACAAAGTAAAAACTGAATCGAATCATCGCCATAATTTGCTCAAAATAACTGCTGATTTATTGATTACATTCAATCCAGATAACAACATTGCTAATCTCTGTTTCAGCCCCACTGATTTTAAATGCAACAGCCATCCATCATCAAGCTCTCGTCATCAATAATTTGCATTTTGTTGACTCAAATTTTCGTTTGACATTCTTCAGTCAACAAACAATTTCGACTTACCGATGGAAAATTTTGCTGGGATCTGCACCTGCACCATTTTCAACTGATCGTAAGAGCGACGGTTTCAACTTTTGGGCAAGAAGCCTCATCAAAGTTGTATGGTATTAATTGCTTTAATTCGTTTGGAAACAACATTTTTAATTTCTATTCCAACTCCAGAATTGAACGCAATCCGTTATCATAAAGTTTTCATCACTGAATGGTTAACCTAAATAATCAACTGAACACATCAATATCGAACGCAAACACTTCGGTCATAACAGCAACGCGATCATGTCGAATCAGCACACCCGATTCATTATGCAGGTCAATTCGATTTTCAGTTGTTGAACGTAGTGATAACAACCTTGATCATATATCGACTTAAACGAGATTCATTTCACCTGTCCTAAATGAATTCTAAAAAGAACGATACTTGAATTGTGATCATTAAAGAGCGTGGATATTGACTTTATTAGATGAACGTTTTATCTTTTACACAATAAAATAAAAGAACACTGCCAGGTAATGAACAACAACATTACAACAATTACGATATCAAGAAAATGCTCGACATTAGGATGCGTTCGATCGTTCTCATCATGCCGTTCCCATTCAGTTTGCATACACTTCAAATTTTTATATTGCTTTTTTCTTGTCACTTCGGTATGCCATGCGATTTCTTTTTAGCCTTGTTAGCATTCCACTCAATGATATCTATCATAAACGTAAAAAATGCGTGAGTGAAATATATCCATCCATAAATAGTTTGACTTGTCTGACAAAAGCTCTTCCCAAGATAGTTGCAAGCTGTCACCTTGACGCAGATGCCCTTGAAAGTAACTTTATGAGAATATCCTCGGAAACTCCCTTTGGTTTGCCTTATTAAATTATATCACGATGAAATTCGAATGAATTTTAGCATAGAAACCTTAGCAATGATGTGTACGGAAATGATTGTGGAAGCACTGATAAATTCAGCACTTCTTCCAATATTTGTTCAAGCTTCGTTCAGCCGTGACCGAAATGTTACACTCTGAGGCATGATTTGAAGCTGCCATTAGAATGAGTGAGCTGAGTGGATGACCACCGAAACTTTCTGGCCATCAAACTTTGGTCGATGGCTATCGACCGAAACCAAAAGAGACTGATTAGTCGGTGGCTGTCAAAAGGGAATCGCCATGTGAATTTCCGTGGCCACCAAGTGAGAACCGCAACTGAGTGGCTTGTTCAACAGTGGCCTCCGAATCGCACGACCATCCCGTTTCACTGGAATTATTGAATAGTTGTAACTGCATTTGTGACCACCGAAGGGAATCAATCATTTCCTGCCTTTGTAGGAGTGCACAGTTTTCAGATTCGAAATGTTATGCTTCGTTTAAGCAATTACCAAATACTTTGTTTGGGTTTTAACTGTCTGACGTGGATCGCCTTTCAGGTGGTTGGTAATGCTTAAAGTTGGTATTTTGCTGTTAACTTATTCCGTATTATCGGAGGCATGTAGCACCGTACGGTTACCTCGACCGATTCCACCAGCCCCTGAGATGCCCATGATGCAAGGTGAGCATTAATGAATAAACCTCATGAGAAAAAATATGTAATTAAACTTCAGCACTCTCAAAGAAGAAAAGGTAGCATATTGACTATGCTCGTAACCAGGGGATTCACTTACGATTAGCGTTTTTTGCAAGGTATTGTTGGATAAATGACTGTTTGCCGACTTTGAGATAGAAATGAGAAAATTTACTACCTTTAATGTGTTTGAGTTGGTTAGCTTCACTTCAAGAGGGAGGGAATGAACTCCGCGAAGAATTGCGAGCAAAAAGACAGGAACACCTGACAATGAGAAGGCTACCTAGCATGAAGCTACATTCAGTACTTTGTCCTCAAAGTCCGAGATATTTTTAACACGTGAGCGACGCGTTGCAAAACAAAATCAACCATTGGGGTCACGGAAAACTTTGATAATCAGCAGATCGCATCATCCATTTAAGGTAGCAATAGCCAAACTCAATAATAACAAACCTTCTTTTTAGAAATATTGAATTCCAAGCAGGACCGACGATTGATTACCCACAATTCAAATTCGATATCTCCTTATCCTTGCATATGACGAACTCAATATTGCAGAAATGACGAAAGCACCAGCATCAGAAACAACAAAACCCGCTCTATCTACACCCACCGAGACCGAAGCGCCCGATTCGACACCCCCAGCAGAAGCATCGCCACCTGGATCAACTGAGGCCGGATCATCTGATGCAACGGGTGCAGAAGAAACAACTCCATCTGGATCAACTGAGGCCGGATCATCTGATGCAACGGGTGCAGAAGAAACAACTCCATCTGGATCAACTGAGGCCGGATCATCTGATGCAACGGGTGCAGAAGAAACAACTCCATCTGAATCAACTGAGGCCATATCATCTGATGCAACGGGTGCAGAAGAAACAACTCCATCTGAATCAACTGAGGCCGGATCATCTAATTCAACGGCTGCAATAGAAACGAAGGGCGCAATTGGAGAATGATTGATTCGTGACATTGCTCGTGCGAGTCAATATGAGAGTCAAATTTAGCTATGGATGTGAATATCGGTGTTCAGTTGCATCAGTAACGCCTGGTTTGCGTTGTTTGTTGGTGTTTAGAGTCAGATTATGATGTTGTTTTGAATAACTACGAGAAACAAAACATTTATGGTGTGTTTTATAATACCTGTACATTTTTCAGATCGCTGGTAGACTTCAAAAAATGATTCATGTGAAGGTAATTCGTGACGCATTATTGAGTAGTTGCAAATCTGTTAAATTTAGTGTACCTGAATTGTTAAATTGCTTCATCATGGAAGGTCATTGTGTCATTTGTTTCGTGAAACGCTGTACCTATTTACAAACCATTGATACCGATTATGCTGACTCGGTGATAAATTAATAAACTCGAAACTCATACACCATTTCTTCTGTTTTTTTTTAGCCTTCAACCAAAAACGTCGTTACTTCGCTGAAAATGAGTGTGAGGTTTTCAGGAACGACCATGCACACGATTCGTTTACCGCATTCTTAGTTATACTTTGAGAATGGAAAGAAATCGTGAAACACATAATCGGGGCAGACGAGAATGAGATTTTATTGCTCTGTACTGAAATTGTACGATTTTTTTTTTGAATGCAGGGCTGATAAAAATTCTCTGAAAGTGATCATCTTGGAAGAGGTGTGATACTTCGGTGCTTAGTGCGGTGTCGTTGGATATGTAAAAGTTCATCTTTGTTATTACTTCGTCGACAGTTGAATTCTTTAGCTTTTTGCAGATGCATCGTTAACAATTTCGTTTCATTCTGAAACTTGAATTCATCGTGAAGTTGAAGTGATCACGTTTCTCATCTCTCACGACGGCATTCGACACCGTAGTGGGGAGTATGGTGGTGAATAGGACAGAAACAGCTGAATTGGTTAATGAATCCAGAACTTTTTAGTTTTGGACGCAGTTGCTCAACTTCAGATTTACATAGCCTGTTACAACTTGTAATTATCGATTGCTTTTAGGTACTCACTAAAGTGATTCCTGGCTTGTGATCTAATTAGTGACTTAAAAAATGTGAAAAATCGGTGACTGGGAGTAGTAGTTAATTGGCGAAAGAGTAAATAAATTTGATTGTGCTTGTAAGTCAAAGTTATTTGAGGATAAATCATCATTGAATGATCGAAACCTTGAATGCTTCACGGCGGAAATGTTCAACCTTTGCGGTTTCAACACGTATCCAATGCGGAATATCTGGGATGATGATATCGATGAAGTACTTGGTTGCCAGTACCAAATGCTCGAGTAGAACACAAATAAGAACCTGCAGTGGACACTGATTTTATGCTCTTCAAATCGTATTCTATCCTGATATAGTGCAAAGGTGAATAAAGGCAATGGGAAGCTGCTAATATAACAATCGATAATTCGTCAGCGTTAAGATTTTTGGAAAAAGAAAAACGAGATTTTTCACGAACTGTTGTGCATACCTGATTTGCGTACGATAATTTAGGCCATATCCGTTGAACAAGTCCAGAATGGGCTATCAGAGCACAATTGACGACAACACCGGCAACACCCATAACCTTAGAAAAGTACTCTATCAATGGCGGATACCTCAGTGTGTTGGTACCGCTCAGAGAAAATATTTGTTCAGGTGAACAAATCACGATCTGTTTATCCAGAAATTTTTTTGTTTTGCTTTGTCTGAACCTCTTTTGAAGCGAGGTCTTGAGAAGAGATAAAAGCAGACGAAATGTATTCAGTGAAAACGTAAATGAGAAACGATTGAACATGAGAGAACACCTCCATTGCTTTCTGCCATGCACCAATACCTCTGACCCTCCTTCCAAAAGGACGTTGTACAGTGTTGCATAATTTGAAGGCATCGAGCCGAAGCTCGATCAGATTGTTCACGAGTGCGCACAACGCTGCCAACGGAAAAGCTGGCGAGAACAGCAGCACGTAACCAAACTGAACATACGCATCAACATCCGATGACACAGCTCTATTAGGCGCTATTCGATGTTTTTTGCATATTTCGAAATCTTTATGGACAGTTTGATCGAGATTTTCGAAGATAATTATCAAATGAGCAATCTTTTAAAAATGGTTCAGTAACATCTCTGTGCTTTCATTTCATTGAGTCTAAAATTTGATATTATATCTGAAATATTGTAAATTGAATTCAAAATGTTATTTCTTTAGAGTTCGTTTTTTAAAAATACCGTTGCAAGTTATTCACCAAAGTGTGGTTGGTTCCGAAAAAGACGTAATGGTAATGAAATTAGGGCTTAGTGACACTGACGATGGAAAAACATTGTGAGTGATTATGGGCACCTGAATAAACATCTCAAGGTAGTCGTCAAGAGGTCTCACATAAGATTCCATTAAACTTTCCAGTTCTGCTTGCGTCAATTTTGTCACTGCAATGAAATGAAGTGTTGTCATTCAGTGAATGTGAATAATTTCTTCTTTTCGAACTTCACTTCTAAAATGAATGAAAAGGTTCCTTACGAAAATGTTCATCGTGAACGCAGTAATTGTCATGATCCAAAATGTGTTCAAAAAGTAATTTTTTACGCACCATCTGGAGGTGACAATTTGAATTCGGGAAGCGGCAATCGCGGTGATTTCGGCACTTTCTCAAGATCGTTGCCATTCGGTGACGATGGCACATTACTCTGAAATAGCATCGTTCATAGTTGATTATGAAAAGCATTAACTTGCACTGAACGACATCAGTTCTGGCATAAAATGAATGAAGAAGGTGGACATTAACAAGGAAGATGGACCGTAAAAGTTAACATCGCTTGAAGACTGCTCATGAAGCAATTGTTCGAATGCAAGAGCAATGGAACTGGACGAATAGCGCGGAGCATGGACGAGTGAAATGAAGTGAGCAGCGCACTTGTATCGACTGAATAGAAGAAGTTATTGCGAAAGATGGCAGGGAAGGCAAATTTATTTGATTGGTGTGTAACTGAAATTCTTATGATTCATGCCATCGTCATTCAGAGAGGTGTTAATAATTGAAAGAAGGATTATGGAAATTTTGAACTGAAGAGATGAAAAACAAGATACCTCTTCCGCAACGTCCGTATCATCAGCCGCATAAGGTGTAAGTTTTCTCCTCCGAACCTGCGCACAACATTTACGTAACGAGCGATTGCTCAAACTTTTTGTCATTTTGTATGTAAGTCGACTCAGTTTCACTTTCTCCATCACAAATGGCACAATCGTTTCGTTGACATTCTGTACCAACTGACGTGTTATCAGCAATGTGGCCAGTGTCTGAGAGTAACGCATTTTTGCTTCCGTTCAAAAAAACTAGCATTAATTGCGTTTGTGCTGCTATAGTCTTTATTCCCATTGTTACGGTTATAACATCCAAAAACTTCAGAAACACAATCTTCTCAAAATCAGGCATTTTATTAATACAACTTCTTTTATTTGAACAGTTCATGTACACTGAATGCTCCTTATGCATCACCAAAATCTGACAGTCATGTATTCTTCTCAGAAAGAAGTTTTAATGATTGATAAACTGGTGACTACTAAGTAAGTGAACGCTAACAAATAAAATGCAAACCTCCTGAAGTTTTTTCATATCTTGCAAGTAGAAAGCGATATAGAATAAGGAACCGAAAGCCGTAGCGCATTGATAGAGAGCAATCTTGGTGATCAAAAAATCTTCATATTCATCGTCAGTGCGATAATTTTCTGAAGCCATGGTCAGTCGTACATATGCATGCGAGTAAATATATAACATAAATTCAATATCACCGTCCGATGAAATTTACATACACACAGCATGATTAAAATCAATATGTTTATCATTGTCCTTTATTTGAACTCAAATTGCATCTAATTTTATGTCCAAAATGAACATTTAATTGCGAACAGCTCCTTTGAGCATTTCAGCTGATTTAAAATGTGGAATAAGCAACTGAGAAGAATACGAACCGAGATCGTTCAGGTAAAGCGCAATAACTCGAAACAGATTATCGCCAATGATTATCAGCACCGCATAAAGTATCATCGGAATCGAAGGAATCCACCAAAATAACGCTGAGCGCTCGAAATACCTGTAAGTAGGTCAGAGGGGAATACAGCTCAGTAATAACACACTTTTTATTATTTCAATAATGGAATTTGCAAAGGGCTTTTGGATGTTCTATGCATCCTTGGTTATGGAAAACCGAAATATCTCTCTGAAAGAAATTCATCGCAATTGAACTGATCGCACTCTTTCAGTTGACTTACATCATAGCCAACTGCTGCATTTCAAACGTGAATAACATTGCTGCAAACATCGCAATCATACAAGCGATTGTAATTGGGTATGTTACACCATATCGGATCAACTTATGTTTCCACGCAGGATAGTATGGCTCCAGGCGACCACAAACCGGATTTCGAACTAACCGTTCACCCTGAAACGATATTTCGTTGTGTTTATGTTGAGATGAGTTTNAATTGAAAGTTGATTAAAGCGAGTTTTATAGCGAATACTTTGAATGCAGGTCTGGGATCATCAAGAAGAGGATCTGATGCAGCGTCATAAGTACCCCATTTGAATGATAGCTCTGCTTGTTTCCGTTTCCACATTTCCAGATATGTGGTTGACCAGAAGCAGTTGAACAGTGCAAAACCAACAAAGCAAACATCGAGAATGATTTGCTTAAATAAGGATTGCTCACTTGTATGGTTTATAAAGCATACATATTAGGAAACAATTGAATCTAAATGATATTTCATAAAAAGGACATTGCAATGGCACGAATCATTGACTTACCCCATACGCTGCATCACCTTCCTTATTAGCGCCTTCAATTGATCCGTATTGGAATCCACCGAATAAGGAGATTAGAATACCTAAAAAACAAGTGCAATCGTAAGTTTCATCTGTGCCCAAACAGTTTCATTCTTTGAAATTTGTACTTTGCAGAGTTACCATTTTTATTTAGAAACAATGATGAGATTTGGACGACAGTGAAAAACTAACCAGCAATAGCTGGAAAGCATAGTGCAGTGGTCATGAAATCAAGCCATGCAAAGTACATGGCGATTTCAGTACCGAAATAATCGTTGATAAGTGACAGAGGCTGTCCTCGGAAGAGTGTCAGCACCCAGCTTTGTTGAAGCTTCTTTATAGCGTCTTGCTGATGTAACGGAAGGATTTTATCAATCAAACCACGAGACAAAAGTACTGGCACTGAAAAGAACGAGCATTCATGCATATTGAAATTTCATCTTTTTAAAGCAGATTTTTCCATCTATTGATATACATCGCTCATGGAATTTTTAGTTAGCAAGCAAGCATCTGTTGACGAAACTGAATTTTATCACTCGTTTGAGCGGTGTCAAAGAACGATGGTAAAGACTGAACTGATGAATTAAATAAATTCAGAAAGCACACCTACCTATAGATCTTCCCTCTGAAATGGTGACGAATTGGTCGCTGTCGATTTTGAGGTGCAGGCCTCGTTGTGGTGCTCTCATCAGGTCAATCATTTGCTTCACGATCATTGCACGCTCCATTCCGGACAGAAACGTGTTCTTGTTCTCGACATTCGAGTAGCACTGAGCTTCATCGAAACAAAAATCACGCATTCCTCCACCAAATTTCGCTTTAACCGCTTTCTTGATGTGACACAATTCAGCACCTTTCAAAAGGCTGCAATGGAGTCGTGTGTTAATTCAAATGATTTACGATTTGACTGAACAAAAACATACCTCACATAGTCAGCAGTAATGTAGAGTGCATAACAATTGGTCAGTTGATGATGCCTCACTTCGATGCACAAATGAGGTTCATACTCCTTCATCTGAATCAGACAACTGACGGTTTATTGCTAAACATACCGCATCTCTTCTCATAGAGTATGCTATGTGCATATTTTGAACGAATCTATGTGACACTTGCGATGCGATCGTGTTTCGTAAATAGTTGAAAATGCAACGAACCAAATCGACCAATGTCATCACAAGTTCGGTTGAATCTTCATCTGTGCTGTTCGGCTTAAGCGTTATCAGAATATCCGAATTGGTGTTAGTGGAAGCATAACGCCATAGATCACTGCTCAACGCAAAACGTTGTCCCTCACTTATACCATCTTGAATCAAATCACCGAATTTTGATTGAAGCATTTGGATTATGTCTGTAATCAGTACAGAAAGGCTTAACAGATATTTCAAAAGTGAACGTCATATATGAAAATGATCTTGTGCTGACAATTTTTCCATTTGAAAGTTTGATTGTTTCAGAAATCTTCTTATCGCTATATCGAAATCTATTTGATCATATGCTATGAGCAAATAAACAGCAATGCTCTTGTCACTGTAAAATAGTCGATCAGTTTACACAGCCGACTGAATTTTAGCGATGTTATACCCATTTGAAGCTGTCATGATGGTTTTGAATGGCTACTGAAAAAATAAATTGGGAAACTGCAGAAGAACATAAAAGTTGTATTGGTATTTGATGCATCATTAGTTGATGACTGCGCGAATGGGCGCAAATATCGATGATGCTTCATTCTCAGGTGCGACTAAATTTCTGGGCAATTCAGTGGAGTTGCTTCACTAGACAGCTGATAATCAGATGATCAAGACGGAACGTTGCTTGAAGAAGCAATAGCGAAGAGCTGAGAACAAGATGAGCATAATGAACCGAATAATTGAATACACTACTCGAACCAAATACTATTTCGCATGTTGATCAGTTATATTATAGGGTTTTGTGCAGCGAATCAATTCGACTGCTTGAAATCTAGAGGTATCGATAATGGATAGAAAATGTGCATGCCTCTCAATGGGAATTAATAGCGTACACTAAAGTCATAAAATAATGCGTTAATTCTATCACCCGATTTTAACACTCAGGATGTTCGATTTTTCAGCAATAAATATCGCAGCTGTCAGAGAATCCCAAATCATGTTGCTAAACAAATCCGAAACGAAGGTTTGAAAGTGAGCTTGAATAATTGAAAATGTATCGATTTTTCATTGCCATTTTATTGCCATTTTTTATTGCCATTTATTACATGCAGCTGGGAGAACAATTTTTTTTGCTCTCGAAAGATGAAACCGACCGTCATCACCGAAGACATTCTGCATAAAACTAAAGAGCTGACGATTCAGTTAACACAATTTGAAATAAAGTTTCATGAAAGAATAAATATGCTGCATTTCGATTGTCGTGCGATTCTTCATTGCTAACAGATCGTAAGCAGATCACTGCTGCACGAAATGCTCAGCAGAGAGCAATCTCCCACGGTTGAGGCGTCGTGAAAAATTCTTGAGTAAACCTTAGCTCCTTCCTGAATGAGTTCGTCAATTAACGATAAAATCTCATTGCATGACGGCAACAATCCATTGAAATAATCAAATTTCGAGGTAGGTCAATAATGCAATCAGTGTTAGTGGTCAGTGTTAGGTTAGAAAAAGAGATTACAATCATTGAGTGGACAAAGCATAACGATGGCAACAAAATATCTTGATAAAAACGATTGCGAATGAAAAGAGATGTTGATCGGTCAAGTGTAATGAAATGTTGTTGAGGATCGACACATCAGAGGGCTATTTATATGTGGTAGCGTCTGCACTTAGAAGTTTGGTAAAATAACTCAACAAAAGTTATATCTTTAAAATGCTCAAATACTTTGTATTTTACAGTGCGAACGACTGATCTCGATTAACACTCATGGTCAGTTTCCTCATTCACTTCATGATCACGCTATTATTATTCATCCGCTATCTATTTACTTGCATATGGGCAGATACTGCTTCGGGATTATTAATAATTTTGCGATCGCTATTCGATTCATTCTGAAATTTCAATCATAGCAAGACTATATTGAAAGGAATCAAAAAGAATCAATCGCTTGACTGTGGATGCCATTAAACAGCGGCAATGATAATGAGAGGATAGCGACAACAGAAGTAAACATTGAGATTATCTTCAACTCGTTTACATTATTACATCAATATGTACAGTGACTATGTAAACGCGTTCAGTAACATCAAGTCAAATTCCACTGACGAATGCTGAGTTCATGAGCGATACAGTGGGAGACATATCGAGTGTAGGCGAGGTTTTGTTCGGATATTTGATTGGCAACCAATTTCTCGCATCTTTCGATTAATCGATCACAAAATGAAGCACTTTGCTTACTTTCGCACAACAATCGTTCATCATCTGAAAAGCTCACTTGCATTCGATGAGCAGTAATCACTCATTAATTTAAGTTTGTAAAGCGTCATCATAATGGCTTACCGTTCTGAGTTGCACTTCGAATTGTTTGCGATGGCACCAGCGATTCGCTCGTTGTTGCTCTAGAGTTGATCACTTCGAACAAATCTGAGCCTGTGCTTGATAATATCAGTGGACGAGGCGATATTGATTCCGTTTTGGCAGTGAGTGGATAAACAGATATAGTTGTTGAAGTTGACTTGGCTCGTGTTGTGGTTGCTTTTACTGGTGCAGATGTAGGTGCTTCGGTGATTGCTGTCTTTGCTGGAGTTATAGGTTTTGTGGTGGTCATTGTCGCTGTTGGAGTAGATGTTGTGGTGGACGTTGTCGTTGTTGATGGAGTTGTTGTGGTGGACGTTGTCGCTGTTGCAGTAACTGCTGTGGTGGGCGCTGTCGTTGTTGCCGGAGTTGTTATGCGGCGCATTGTCGTTGTTGATATAAGTTTTGTGGCGACTATTGTCGCTTTTGGGATAGCAGACTTCGTTGTAGCAGACTTCGTTATCGTTGGTATTGTTTTTATGATGATGGATGTTGGTGGAGTGGTGGTGACCATAGACATTTTCGTGTAATGGCTTGACTGTTGCGTTTGATAGGGTTGTGGTGGACGGTGCCACTGTTGGTGCAGCATTGCGTGGAGTGAGGTCTGGATCTGTTGATATGTTACTGCGATCGGTGGTGAAGCTAGGGAAGTGGTTGCCAGCTGTGGAAGTTGGTGACACGCTATGGAGATACTGATTTGGCATACCAGTAAAGTGTCGAAATTGATCATTGTCAAGTGAACAAAATTCTGAAATAAAATAATCATTGAAGCGAAATCGTTCGAGACATGCACATGGGAAATTGCCGAATTGTTGGTGCTACTGATGATGTATGGATGTGGTAATCGAAACAGTTCCGATTCCCAAGCATGCATCTCCTAATTTGTATAGCGTATTTGGGGGGGATTGACTGTAAGAAAATTTGGCTAAAATATGCAACGAATTCGAAGTTTTGGGATTGCAGTGGTTCACATCAACTAGAAATGTGACAATTTCGCTGCGTATTGTTCTGTGCGCGACAATAAAGATTTCTTCGTAATCTTTTCGTTGGACACTGAGGGAGGGTCACAACTCATAATCTCGCATTCATTGTTCAAATTTTAGTGCACTTTGAATGAATGCTGCTGTCTTGTCAACGCTGAGTCTGCTCGGCGATTGTAACACTTTCAAGTGATAAGATATGGAAGCAAGGACATATGTAATCTAAAAGGTACGCAAACAAAACCTGATTTCGTATTCATTCCCAACGAGGATTAATCATCAATCAATGATTGTGTTCCAATAAATCTTAATTGAATCTTAATTAATTCATTAACAGCAAAATACGAATGTGAACAGAACTGACCAATTCGTTTATTTTGTTCTTTACGTTGCATCACATGAATCGCACGCTTCTTGAATACTCGCTGAAAACAGTTTTTTTCCTGATTCGACCACTTACCAATCATTGCAAGCAATATTGTTGCTAGGAAAGATATCGATTTGGAGACAAAAATCTCTTTTGAAAACGGTGTTGCTTTAAGACGGAGTAGGTGAATCTATGATCGGTACGTCTACTCGTCACCTAATTGATTAGTTTCATAAGTGCACTTGCACTTTATTCAGTAAACCAACTGGTACGAACAAGCAATGCCAAAACATTTATCATCAGCTGCATCATTGTTGTTTGTTAACTCTCAAATGTAATGTTAATAATATCAATGAAAACTCAATATCAAAGANTTGTAAATAACAGCACACTCATCGGTTTTGTTTGGCAGTATTCGATGTGTGTATGTGGGATAAAGATATGAACGAACCACCGAAACCCGAAGTACTGACATGAGTACTCATATGATGGGTGTCATCTTTTGTGAAAATTGATCTGCACAATAAATTTGAAACTCTTGCAGCTGGTGGCAATCAAAAGACTGATGAATAATGTGTCATATGGATGTCATAAAGTGAAACAAACGATCACTTTTCAAGAAAGTCAACATGCATTCTGCATGCTCACTGTTTTCGTAACTTTCGGAGTTGTCGAACTGAGATTTGAAGAGAATAAACTGAAACGAACGAGTGAGTGTTTAATGATGTAATTTCACGTCAAAAGCACTTCAGTGTTCTAAAATCTATGATTTATGACCAGTGAACAAGTATACTTAACGCATTAAAATGCACTGATCATTGACATGTGATAGTGCTTATTACAGACACTCAGACTGATAAGACCAAACGTGAAGTAATGTTATGCAATAACAGAGACTGGGTGCACTGCTGATCATGAGATTCAGTTGAATATTCAGCATTTATAATGCAGCTCATCATTTATACGAATCGTCACGATTTCATAAATACCCGTTACATAATTTGTAACTGTTCACCTGTGAACGGACCGTTTTAGCACTCAAGCTGAACAGCTTCTAATGAAAACGAAAAATGTTGTCGTTTTTTCAAATTGCTTTGATTCTTTATGCTATGAAATATCATTTGTTAATGTTCACTCACTGCTGTTGGTACGTTTACTTCGTGGGTTTTTTTTTTCAATTCTTCAATATTCAATGACGAATCAAACCACTTCAATCTGATCAATGCGTTTACTCATACAAGGAATTTAGACACATTTTTGCGATCACTTTTATTTTGTACGCAGTCATAGTATTCCCTAAAACAAATCCTGCGGGTACAGCACTGTCTTCGAAATAAATAAAATTTACGTTCACTCAACTTTTTGTCTTTTGAAGACTGCTGTTACCACACAGTTCAGAGACAGTTTATTCAATCAACATTCATTCGACTGTGCTGTTGTTCTTTTTGATTTCATTCGTCTATCAGCACCGCTTTTTCTTTAATCCGTAAGCACTTGGAGGAATATATACATATATAATTTGAATCCCATATACGGATTTCGCTCTTTGTACTCATTCGCAAAGGAAAACAATTGTCAATGTGTGCTTTTGCAAAGGAAAAAAAATTTACTTTGACTGTTTCAACTGCAACATCTTAACGACTTTACCATTATTAGAAACTATCACATTACTACTCAGTAAAGTAATCATAAGTGTAAATATGATGATACTTCATGATTTCATGATTCAGTGGTTCAGATTTTGTTTCACTTACAATCAACGATTATCTGAATTAACGAAATTTCATCTGAATTAGAAAGAATTTGCTGAATTTGTCATTCATCATATTGTCATGATTAAAATTTGTTAATGAACTGTCAGGTTTGGTTAACGATTGTTTATACACACTTGATACACCTATCGCAGAACTTCTACAAAAATCAACTCTGTCGTCATTCTCTTAACCACTTCAGTCATGTTGTGCTCTTATAAACCTGCTTTGACCAATCGATTTCATTTTGTGATGGCTGATTTCATATGTGCTTCATTTGAAATTCATTAAATTAGTTGTTTCAAGTGCTTTTCCATCGAGCAACATCTTAAGATGAGTAGTTCGTCTGGAAGGTAATGCAACACTCTGAAACGATGAAACAACATTCGTTTTTTGCTCATTGATTCGCATTCACTCGTCATTTCCGTATCGCATTTACTCGCATTCTGATTTACCATTTATTTTTGCTGATTTTTTACCAATTATCATTTGAGTATAGATTTTTATATTATCAACGAATTACTCGCCGAATTCTTGAATATTTATGTTGCATGTCGATTTGTCCCCAGCGAATCACCGTCATGTATGCTTAACGTTCATGTGACACTCACTGTATGCTTCCAGTCGATGTGTGACACTAATCGACTTATTCAAGCCACTTCTTCGTTTGAAATGCTCCTTTATCATTTCTGCAGTTCTATTTGTGTCTTATCATTTGGAATTATGATGCTCCATTCTATTTTGATCCACACTGTTCCATTTTATTCTGGTCTTTTCATCACATTCTGAATACTGCACACTTCAATAGGATGATACATTTTCGTCCCCAGGGTCAATCAAACGAATCCTGGATGCTTTCGAATGATTTTTGGTTGGCTTGCGTTCGCCGAATTCGTCTCATTTTTCAAGGTATTCTCAAATGACCCAAAGCATCTTTGAGTGTCTTCTCCTGTCGAGAATATCCGTCCGTATGATTGAATCATTTAATTGTGTCGAACCATATTTCGATGCATCATTAATTTCAGCAGTTTTCAAACTAAATACCGTCAACGAATTGCTTGCCAAATGCGCAGCAGTTGCAAAGTAAATGATTCTGAGCGTCTTCTCGTTCACAGCAGTTGACATAAAGAAATGCTTGACTAAATAAACTCACTCACAAGTCAGGTTGTATTCGTTGATGCAACAATCAGCAACCATTTACGATACACACAAAAGCGCTCTCAATAGCCGCATGGTTATTCATATGCGCTTTGCAGTCGAATTTTTCTTTCACTTGAACACACCTGTAAAATATGAACATTGAAAACACATATTGCCTATTGCTCACGATAAAATTTGATTGATGATGTGTACTGTTTGAATCTGTTCAAATCACTTTTTGATATTCTCGCAGAGCACTACTCCTTCCACTTAAAAACACCTTGCCCCATTCCTCCATACGATTATCCTTTTCATCAAGATATGAATGAGTTTGACATCGTTCGAAAAGTGTCCTTTCATGTATTTGTTTCATCAACGATTCGAATGTGTCACGATCTCCTGCTCTATCAGAAAAACACTTCTGTTAACTCTTCATCTTCATCATTGATATAAGCGGAATGAAATTAACTTCTAGAACATCAGTATCACAACGACACTCTGATCAATAGAAATAATGAAGCTGTTTAGCATCACACTATCACTGACAGTGTCTTTTTTTTTTGCACTCAAATAATACTGTGTGCTTTAGTGTTAAGGCGCTAATCGAATGAATTCGATTTCTCGTCATCTTTTTTTAGCTCATCGATTTTGTATTGAACGCAAACAGTTGAATCAAGAACTGGTCATAAGATGCAATGAATTTCATCCAATTCACATTCATCATTCCCTTTTCTTCAGTTTTCTTTCGATCATTTCTTCTCGCTCGATCAGTCACTCGAATGATACGATGATAAATGCTTTGTACCATCATAATTCGTTCGATTTTCTCAATCATTGTCCTTTCAAGTGCTCGTGCACAATGCCAGGTTTATCTACTCTGCTTGGATCGTTCACCTTCTTGAAAACAGTAACATCCTCCAATTGGTAGATCTTCAATCAGAATGTATCCTTTACACGAGACCTTTCTCCTTACTTCGAAGTTCCCTGAACAGAACATTCCAAAAACCTTATTCACGTCCACTGAAAACTATGCGTACAATTTCCAAAAAAATTTATTCACGTGAAAAATTGTGTCCTTCATTAATTTCTCGCTGATTCATATCTTTCCTCTTGATTAGTTCTTGAGAAGTTTTGCTGTTGATAGAAAAGCGGTGACGTGGCTGTGAAATATTGGTCAGTCGAAATTAACCGAGGCCTTTCTGCTGTCAACGTTGATTTCGATCGTTTTCTGGGACAATGATTGTTTCTCGTGCCTTCACTAACCCAACAAGTCCATTGCATTCACAACTCATCTGCTTCATGAATCTGTCACCTGGATATATCAAATAAAAATCTATGTAATTCATCAGACTATTTCTTCGGCAATCTTTCGTAAGGTTTTTCGAATTTTCATTTGTAACACATCATTTGTAACACAACGTGAAAAGTGTTTCTGGTAAAATTGAATTGCGAGAACTACGGTCCTACCACTAGATATTACTTATTCATTTGCACAGTGATTATCAATACAGAAGGAATTATTTGATGCAAATATTACCAGCAACTTTAACAATTTTGTGCACAATGTGCTTGATGACTTTGCTTGAAAATAAGAAAACTGATGCCACTGTATGGAGTCGTGAACGAAATTCGTTTGGCTTTACTGAAGTGAGCTGGTGATGTTGGTACGACAGTAGGCAATCTTCTTGTCGTTTTCTTCTCACCGTCGATTTTTCATAATCCAATTCGTCGTTCCTATACCCTGTGCGGTAATGATGCTTCATAGTGATGATCATTTGGGATTGAAATGAACTTTTGCAATCGAGTTCTGAATTTCGGATCCTTTACTAGCTATCTTCGTTGAACTGTGCTCAGTGAATGATCTGTGAACAACATACAAGAGGCAAACCAATTTTGCTTCATATCCAACGATTTTTGTGAAAATTTACTGCTTCCGTTGAATACTGTTAACAATTGCATCTTATATGAATAGCACTATTGTAGTTGTGTTCTCAGTTGTTTGCTTGCACTTTGTTATTTACCATTTGCGATCAACCATAAATAAACATTCATTATTTACCCAGTAAGAAGTGCCGATCGAATTCAGTCGCATTTTATCACCAAATTCGAATCTTGCCGCAGCACTTTTCGGTTCGTTTCAAAACCTTCAGCGTTGAATGAACAGCACAAAGGTGGATCTGTCGAATACATGGATATATGCTCTCAGGCTTGTACATCTAGCGGGTCTTCTATTGCTACTATTGGTATGATATTTATGACTGACGAGCAAGATCATCATATTTATGACTGATTGTGAGCACAGAACATAATTCAACTCTATTTCACTGCGGAAATGTCATCTCTAAATTTCATCACTGAGGAAAAGTAGAAAATTTGCAGATTGGGAACTATCGAATAGCGCAAAAGAAAGTGAAAGTTGTGATTATGGCAGTCAACTTCAAGCATATAACGAACTTTTTCGAACGGGGTCATCAACGACGGTTACGATGAATGAGGAAGAGTTTAATGCAAATACGGCATCGTCGGTTGATCTGAACGCTAACGCGAATGAATCTCCCACAGATGATCGATGTCGTGTGTGTGGTGACACACAAGCGAAAATGCATTACGGTGTATTGGCATGTTTCGGATGTAAAGGCTTCTTCAGAAGAGCGTTGAAACGGGCCAATCAATACGAGTGCAATAACAATCGAAGATGTGTTATTGATAAATGTCAGTCATGTTATGTTCAGTTGAATTAATCTAATAATGAATCTTATCCGTGTAATTCCAAGCGTATGAAAACAATTTTCTTTAATCTGCACAGGGACAGGTAAGCGGATTGAAACAATTGAAATGACATTTCAGTTGAACGTAATTCATGTCGCTATTGTCGTCTTCAAAGATGTCTCGAAGTGGGCATGGATCCTACAGGTGAACACTCACTCATTTTGCAAATTTCTGCATAAATTGAAAACTACAACGTTCAACTGGTCAATTGATACTACACTATCTTCATAAAACAAAAATTCCGATAATAAATGTTCGATCCTACTTTGCACATTACAATATATTCCCACATAAACTAATTCTTTTCTTTTCATGAAGACACCACAGTAATGTGTACTAAAGAGATCAAGGGTAATCGTTAAAATTGATGTGATGTTGTTGGCATTTGACAAGAATTCCAATTTGACCATCTCCAACTGCATCCGTTTTTTCTGGCTGTGTGAATCTGCCAGAGTCGTATTTCGCTTCGACAGAGTCTCATTGTCAAGAAAAAGTCTTCATCCCATGCATCGTTGCGTACTCTTCCAAAAATTCTGATGCATATCGCCAGAGGTTTAGCTGTTCGGCCAGATCGAGACTTCACGGGACCTCAACATGCGATAAGATTACCGATTGTGAAACGTTCTTCGACGAGAGATGACTCGTGTCATGATCAAGAAGTGCATGATGAAACTTCTGAATGGAGCAAACGATTGCCTGTCGAGATGCGAACGATGCTGATGAATTTGTTGAATATTGAGGCGAAAGTTAGTGAGTGACCTATGAATTTATTCCATAATTCATTCCTGCCTCAAAAACTGCTAGTTGTTAGTGAATAATCCTCATTTTAGAAAATTGAATGAGTGATAATTTTACGTGTGTTCAGGTGACCAAAGGAGACACAAAGAAGAAAGCCAACGAAGTCTATCCATTGCCCGAGCATACACTTCGAGAACTGATTGAAGATCCGTCTAAACTGAAAGGATTGCGGACGGAGGTAATCTCTAATATCATATGTTCTTTCCCCATGAAACGATATTGCGCAGGTTCTTGCAGTAGCATTGCGCGACATTCTCTACATACTTTCAATTCATCAAAGTGAAATCAGATTGCAATATTGCAGAAATTAAAAGATGTTTCAGATGCGCTATGAGCCGTACAGAATGGCTGCAAATTCAGAGCTTTTACTGATCGCTTATCGACGTTTGATCGCTGCAGTTGATTGGGTCACCTATGTATCAGAGATGATCGACGGACTTTCATTGGATGACAAAGTAACGAATATCATCTTTTTATGATTCCATTGATCCTTCATCTTCTATAATCAAGCATTCATTATCAACCTCACATATAGATGATTTGCATTTAGATTTGAGATCTGATAAAAATTCGAAACTTGAAACCTCCTATCAAACGTGAACGAAAATATCATCACTGATACTGAATCATTTTGTCTTAACGGTTTTATTACCAGGTCATTCATTGCGCACTACTGCAATTAGATGATTAGATAAAGCATACAGCGTTTTGCTGACGATTTTAATCCAGAAGTAATACGTATTATGACACATTAGTGCAGATCTACACCAATATACACACACGATTCTTTTAAAAAATATTGTCACACTTTGGAGTATTCACAGTTGAGAATGCATTTTGTTAAGGTGTTCAACAGCTAGAAAGAATTTTTTGAGATGAATATTTTTTTGAAGTAATTCCTTGAATCTGTTGATTGAACGTGCACGCTAGCATGAATTTCTCCTTTGATGTTGTCACTTCCACGTGCATCAGATCTGCGTTCGTTAGTTTTCATGCTAATATTGATAATGATGATATCAGGAACGTTCATCAACAAACAATAATGCTAACGACTAATAGCCTTAAAATTTGAACAGATCGCCTTGGTGAGGAACTGTTTTGCTCCATTACTTGTGTTCAAGTTTGCCGTTCGTACTGCCGAAGTGACCGATGATCCGGACGTTTTATGTCTTTGTACATTTTCTTTCGTTCCACGGAACATGGCCAAGGCATACACTGATTCATAGTGAGTTCAATTCCTCACTCACATGTAGTTGTTTCTCTTATGAAAATTGTATTCCGTAACACACCCTTATAAATTAAACAAATGCAAGTGAAAATTTTCGAATAATGTCGAAAGTGATTTCGCTCATGAGAACATCGAGTTGACGATTGATCATAATTTCACAGCTCTGAGATGAGATGAGAAGTGCTTTCAAATTGCAGTCATTTGAGTAATGGCCTGGTCGAGAGAGCGCTTGATGAGCTTGTGACACCGCTGCGAAATTTAAAACTGAAACAGGAAGAGATGGTTTGCCTCAGTGCAACAATTGTACTAAATCCACGTTAGCTCTACTGTATTTTGATGCAGTTTTAATTGATACATTCTTTATGAAGTTTATTTACTTGAATACTGCAGGTGGCATAAAAAATCATTGAGAGTTGAGCGTTTCGACGAATGCATCAATTTAAGATTGATCTTCAGACGCAAAAGATCTCTCATCAGAAGGATCACAGAAAATAATTGAGTTACGGAGTCGCATACAGGACACACTTTATCATGTCATCAAAGAGACGCGTTCCAAGGATCGAGCTAGTGTACAGTTCGGCAATTTACTGCTCTTCTTATCGAATGTCACAGTTCGTTTTTCACAGTTAACTTGCTTAACTTCGTGCATATTCAGCTAGTGAATTTGAAAGAACTCATATTGCAAAATGCGTTTGTATAACAAGATACACACACAGTTGAGCTTACTGCATACAACTAAAAATGATAACATTTGAAATTTCATAATCGGAAATTCAACAAGAGCACTTTTTTGTTGTGTTTTCTGATAGATTAATATTAAATTGCTGCTCCAGTTGATCGCGAACAGTATGTTGGAGAATCTTCAATTCGCGCAGACGTTCAGTCAGTTCGGTGGAGTACCGCTTTTGACGGACCTTTTCGGTTGTTTTCCAGTTGAACCATTCAGTGATGCTCCATTGAGTGCAGTCAGTAGCAACAGTACGATAATGATGGATATAGATGAGGAGGATTGCAACTTGGACAAACCAGCAGTAAAAAATGAAGCGACATATGCGGATGTTGCAATCCAAACAGATCCGAATGATTTTGATCAAGTAGGCTTTTTTGTAAGCATTGATCGTTAATGTGCGCATCATTGAACAAGTAATGAGAACTCGAGTAAATGTTCAGGAGATGAGACAGCAAAATCGAATGCAATCGTCATTGCTGAGTCCACTAGAAAATCACGAACATCGAGATTTCGAACTGCTTCAACCACCTTGTGTGTACACACTTACTGAGATGTTTGATGACGCAAATACGGAAACAAGAGATCAATTCGTTGCACAAATGAAAGATCAGGTAATCTTGTGTGCATTTTTGTTCTAAATCGCGCAGATTTGTTTTAAAGATTCTGACCTTGCCATTGTTGAAACTGTATGAAAGGCATTCATTAGTAATGAACAATCGATGAATTTTCAGAAGGCTTTATTGGAAGGCACAACGACGGCAGCATATCCATGTTATGTGCAGAATCATCCATCGATAAATGCTGAACGCAAGAGCACCTTCCTTCAATCGTCTCCACACCGATGCAACTCATTTTCAGCTGCCAATAGTATGCAAACGAATGAACGTAATTCGCCGTCGTCATCTGCCTATAAAATAGCAATACCAAACTGGATTAAAAACGAATCTCCATCGCTAAACTTTAATCAGTCGATCAATTCAAACTGTACCCAGCCAAAATTCACGCTTGATGTCGACAGTTCATCGAGTCATTCGAATTCACCACCAGGTGATCGAGCAGATCCGATGAACATCACAATCAGTAGGAATTTCAATGGAGCGTTCACATCTTCTGTACCAGCCAACTTCATGCATAATGTTTGTTATCTTTAATCATCTGTCAGTTCTTTTTATGGTTCGAGATAAATCACTCAACACATAATCGTATCATTTATTCAAGTCATAATAAAAATTCAGATGTAATCGTCATCTCAGAAGAAACAACACAACGATGCGGTGTGTCTCATGCAGTTCATTGTGCCAACCGGAATTATTTGAACAAGTCGCAACAGATTGACTTCCACTATCAAGAACGGGACAATGCGCTCACAAGTGGAACGCGATTGCCATTCACTTTTTCGAATTCAAAAACTGCGAAATTCACGAAGCCAGAAAATACTTTCAAGCCAACCATCCCTGAGACGTCCGCCTGAAGTAATACATCTGATATGAATTCACCAGATGCATTCAATCCTCTCTCTTTTCAATGAAATAAATTACTTTGATATCAACGAGTATGTATTGAATCTGTTTGGAAGGTAATCGGTCATAACGTTTGTAAAAGCAAAACTTCGCTAATCAATTGTACCAATGTTAAACTACCTACAACTGAACAAGTGAAGTATCCAATTGATCACCGAATCGAACTTTCAAATTTCCATACCTCGACGAGCATATATGAATTAACCTCACTAGCAAATAAACCGCGTTTCAAAGTTGAAATCAACTCCAATCGTAACTGTGCCCGTAAAACCGACTGAGAACTTATGAAATGGAAGTTATTTCACTGCATTTTTTCGGTTACCTTCATTTTCTATCACCATGATCGGGCCAAGCGTTTCCGGAGAATTGCATAGTAGAAACGTTGCCTCACACTAGCCAGATGAACTGCTCGCTGTTCATTTTGCGAATATTTCGAATGAATTATAAATTCGTTTAAAGAATTACAATTGTTATGCAATCGCACCCAATTTACCTTATTATTGTCTGTTCATAACATTTTGTTGCAATTTTACTTCTGATGTGTCCAGTAACGAGTGCTTTTGTATAGTTTAAATTGAGCATTGTTATGTTTTGTTTGAATATTATTCTCACTTGAGTGTATTCAACATCATTCACATAAATTTTCTTGTACAATAAAATATTTCGAAGTGAATTATACTGCAATTCGGTGAATAATAACACTGCTAGGGCAATATCTTCCAGAAGTGTTGCTGTTACGATCGATTTGAATCGTTACAAAGCAATCGACCAACAGCATAAACTCAGCTACGAGTGCATTTGCTTGAATTAAGAGTTGCGAGTTTAACGGCATTCTGAACTAACAAATTCTATTCAATCGGAACAAAACACAATTATTGAATGAATTTTATTTGCTGAAAATCGGTGCGTTAAGCCAAGGACTCGGGATTTTGTTGTTGCTGTCGAATGCTCTTTTGGCCGTTTGAAAATCGTATTCACCGTTCATATTCTTCAATGACATTGACGGTTTCACCGAAAAGAATCGCTTTCCTGCTGACATCCACCCTGCAAAAGGATCAATCTCATGTGAGCGGTTGCATCAAATTAAATCACAACTTTACAAGAATCTCAAGAATCAGGTATTGAATGCATAATTAGAAATTAATTTGAGTTCTGTTTTTGCATTAATTTGGGATAATTTCATCGAATATCGCTTGATCGAAAAGCAAAATCCGTATTGATTCATCAGTTTTATCGCGATTTATGGATACAATCGCAATTCACCAATTACTGAAAAATAGAACATTGTTTTTCAATGACGATTCAGAACGTCTCGAGTGATTCTAGACGACATTTAAGGTAAAAATGACTTTCTGCGCATGTGAAAGTTGTTCATTGTAAAATGGCGATCGATTTCGATCTCCCTCTCCCTCGTTACGGTACAGATCACCGATTGTCGCAATGATCACTTATAAGAACGCTTCAATATCAGTTGCTTAGGGCTTTTTTAGCCTGCAGCTACTTGATAACTACCGAAAGCAACTGTCGCATTACCTTTATGTAGTTCTTCGAACCGAATTGCGGATCAACTTATTAACAACTCAGAATTGAACTGTCCAACTGGAAAGAATCATGATACAGAAAAGTTCGAAACTTACCTTTACCGGAGATTTCATTTAGATCTGGTATGAGGAATAATGGTAATGCTGAGACGTACACACTACATGCAGCCAAGAGAACGATTAGTGAAACAACTGAGGAATTCATGCTGAACTGAAACGGNAACAGTAAACTTTACTCGAAAGAATAATTATTCATTGAAAACATAATTTTTGATATCTTCTGAAATAGAAGATATTGTTTCTTTCTAAAATTGGATTTCTCGCTGTAACGGTTCCATGAGCTAAAGGAACACCAATCGAAATGGGATATAAGATTATGAAATTTTGTCAACAAAGATGAGAGTGAGCTGGAGACATTAGTCGTTGGAAGTATGATATCTAGAGATTGTAAAGAACGTTGATCAACTTCAAGTTCCCACACTGATGGTGAACTAATTGATAGGCGGAGCATTGTCAAAGGGAAACGAACGAACATCTCACAATCAGCTAGCTAATTTCTACATTTCGGAAGGAAACGAAGGGATCAGTTTAGCTGATGTCATTGCATAATAACAGCTACAAGGGAAAGTTCATCAAAACGGTAGATAATGATGAAGTGAAATTAGCGGCAACTGACTTTGAGTCTTTCGAGCAAAAATATTCAGTGCGCATGAAAGCTAGTAAGGAACTGAGACGTTATAGTTCAAAACGGAGCATTATGATAAATGAATGAGATTGGGATCGATAGTGGTTGAGAAAATTCAAGTTAGAAAATAGTTGGCGACAACGAAGATGAAATGCTCTTTTGGATGTCAACAATTGAGTTAGTTGCCGAAATTTTTTGTGATTCATTTTTGAGAAATTTTCTGAACAGAGTCAAAAATATACAATGTGGTTGAATGTAGTATGCCTCCCTTATGGGAATAGAACAAGATGATGGAATTTGAAAAAATTCGAATGTGATGATAAGTTTGCGCGATTCAAACCGTGACTAGACTTTTTTGGTCTCTTGGACATGGAAGCTATGGTAAAGCTATTGGATTGAATGATAGGCCTCTGACAGCACAAGAGATAATCATCCCTTTGCATAAAAAATTTTTTATCGAGTCCTTTTCGACTGTACTAAGGGAGGGGAGGTTGCCTAGCGACTGTGGAATATAGATGAAATATGCATATCACATTACTTCTGTCGAGGAATGGATGGCACATGGCATTTGATCAGCGCATGACGATTACGCATCCCATATTATGTGGCCAAGCAAATCAATCGGTTACGCAAAGATCAAACTTCTAATGAAAAATTCTTGAGCAATCACGAGCCGGTGAATTAAGAATCAGGTATCTGAAAAAATTGGAATTAGGTTAGCATAATGATGGTAGTTGATGAATGCAATCATTTTCAAGATACTTATTTATGCAACCGTACCAGTGCAATTATCATCGAATGACGACGCTCCTTTCAATCGCAATTAAGCTGCTCTTAAGCCCAAAGGCAAAAAACATGATAGTTTCGAGACATATTCGTGTCGAACAACATCAATCAAGTTGATCTGATTAGACATTCACCACCCTGCACCACGGCCTCATTTCATTCAGTTTCACAAAACGCTCCAATGAATACATTTCTGCTTCAGAGAAATTGTCGAATAGAAAGTTTGTTATTCCTCATCGCCATCATCATTAATTTACATCTGAAGGCATTCGAATTTTGGCTAGTGCAAAAACAAATTAGTTTTTGTGATGTGAGGAATAAATGCAGTAAATCGAAAAATTTCTTTGCACAGATTCGACTCTCATTTCGAGGACATTCGCGGAAATCAACTTCGAAACATAATCACAAGTCAACAACAGCAATCAATTCCATGAAAACATGACTCAGCGAACACAACAGTTGGTTCATGAAACGAATGACTGCTTCGTGTCAATAGTCACATCAGTGCTATGGTTACGTTACACTCTCGGATGATTACGCTTCTTGTGCAGTGTAAATCGAAACTGAACCACCATCGTCATAAATCTAATGCCACATCATCATAAATCTCGAGCACGATAACAAATTTCCAACTGCTAATTGTAAGGGGCAGCATTTCTCAACCGTTGCAGATCTGATCGTTGAGGCACTTTTACTTCGTTTAACATCACTGACGGTAATATTCGATGGTATCGTTAACGCTGAATCCAAAACCATTTAGGCGCTGTTGCCAAGGCAGTTGGTAAGCATCAATAAACTACGAATCTCTCGGATAAAATCCACTATAGCGAAAATTCAGCTTATCCTACTCTAAGCGCAATTCATAGTTTAATGCAGACTCGGAACTGCGATAAACCCTCACGAGGGCAAGTAATATCACTCGATGCCCTCAGACTGACCACATTTCTGAATTTGGACCGATCAACGAATACTGCCGCAGGTTTTTGTTGTTGTTGTTATAAAAGCAAACAATCATATCAATGGTTTATTATTATGACACGTAAAACACACGCAAATACATATATATTGCTGGGCTCAAAAAATAGGCAAATTTGATTGTGAACTAAACGCAATCAATATGCTGACTGGTGAACGTTTCGAAATAATCGAACAATTTGAAATAAATGCAATTATTGACCGTTGAAGAAGGTTGATAAAACAAATCAAAATCAGGCGATCAATTTTAATAACGACACATCAGGTTGAACGTTTTCACTGAAAACAACAAATAATTAAATCATACGGGCGAAATGCCCAACGGATTGAAACACCTGTTAAAAACTATCATAGCGAGAAAAACACTTCAACAGTTCACATTGGTAACAATATTCAATAATATGCTCGTTTTGATGCAACCAAATCATCGATGTGTATCGATCCACCATTACGGTGATAGAAATGAAGTTCAATTAACTCGTCACTCAACGCCATGCTGAGCCGAAAAAGAAACCCGAACGTTCTGGGTCTTGAACTCTCATCTCGCGTCTGAAATTCATAACAACATACAAAAAAGACAC